CTGCTCTTTGTGTTGCCCCATAGTGTTTGTTTTGTAGGGGGCAGAGATACTTGTCTCGACACAGGAACAATTATCAAGCATCAACAGTTTTGGTTTTCAGTACAAGTAATATCTGGATTTGTAGGTTTTACTTACTGTACTGAATGTTCAAAACGAAGTTTCTGCTATTGTTTAAGCACACATTTCTGTGATAGCCGTGGCCCCTCGGCTGTGCGGGACTGCAGACGGAGGGGAGGTTGGCTTTGGACCAGAGTCTGGTTGGCAGTGGAGCATATACATCTGGCTGGTCTCCAGGGTCGGCTGTGTAACCTCCTCCACTCTAAACCTTGGAGAGATTTCCTCGCTCTCATCCCCTTTTATTTACCAGATACACCAATCAGAGATATCCCAGGCTGATTATGAGGAACTGCCTTGAGCTTTTTGGATCTATGGTCATTAGGATTGAGTTGTAGCTGTTTGACCCTAATTGACCCCCAAATTACTTAACTGATTAATTATACTGATCTCTTTAGGTCATTAAAAACAATTCAGTTAACTGGATTGAGTTTTTCATCCTCAAACTAAATTTTTACTCTGATGTTGTAGAGCTACTTTTTGCTGAATTAAGTTTGTTTCCTAATTTGATGAACTTTCACTATTATTGAACTCAACTGAATCAACACTGAACTGATTGACTTAAATAATTAAAAAAAAAATTCTGAGACGCTTTTTAGTTAAATTGATTTAATGAACTTTGCAATGTTGACACTGTCACTGAACTCGACTGAATCAACATTGAGCTAAATTGAACTGAATAGACACAATTGCCTTTCAAGATCTGCTTCACGGTTGAAATTGTATTTATTTCATAATTCAAGAACTTTGCATCATTAATACTATTATTTTCTTGTTTATTACTGTGAAGCTACTTTGAAACAATCTGTATTGTATAAAGCACTATATTAATATATACTGTATATAGTTGCCAAGTTCCCTGTACTTCATGCTTATTCTTGTTCTTTGAAGGATTTAGAGGGTTGCAATTTGGAAGTTCTCAAGTGCCCCCAAAACAGATATATGCTCATCTCATTGGCTGAACAGCCTTGAAGTTTGGTTATCTTTTCCAGGACAGTTCAGGATAATTTAGAAGTTTGTGAACAATGTCAACATCGCAGGAGCTACAAGTGAATGATTAAATATATTTCTGCTGTTTACTGATGTAAGTGTTAATGATGAATGGTTTTCATCAGCTCATGAGGAGGTGTGTACCACTGGTGAGGGTGTAATGTATCGTGTGGGAGATCAATGGGATAGACGCCATGATGTTCTGGGTCACATGATGCGCTGTACATGTGTGGGCAGTGGCCGTGGAGAATGGAGCTGCATCGCCTACTCTCAACTCAAAGGTGAGAGTTGTCATTTCTCTCTCCCATTTGTAATGGATGAAGTTATGCATCCTTGTGTAAATGTACATATATGTCTTTTCATCTTCAGACCAGTGCATTGTGGATAATTTGACCTACGAAGTAAATCAAACTTTTACTAAACAGCATGACGAAGGCTACATGATGAACTGCACTTGTTTCGGTCAAGGCCGTGGACGCTGGAAGTGTGACGCTATCGGTAAGCCAGCCACTTCTAGGATTTCATCAATTAGAAGTGAAATGAGACATTTGCCTTCATTTGCTTAATTGAACATTTCTTGAAACAATTAGAGTGTCTTTTCCTCCAAATTGGAGCCTTAGGATCAGCAGTTTTAGCCTTGTTCCCTATAAATGACCGAACTAATGATTGGATAATGACCGTGTTACTCCGATTTCCATTTCCAGATCAGTGCCAGGAGCCAGAGACTAGAGTGTTCTATCAGATTGGAGAGTCCTGGGACAAACCCATTCAGGGAATCCACTACAGATGTTACTGCTATGGAAATGGCATTGGAGAGTTGAGCTGCGAGCCTCAGCAGTCTTTCGCTAGTGAGTAAACAGCATCTTTTATGGGGCACATGTTCCCTCTCTCGTGCACACACA